ATGAAAAATAACCCTTTCAAATGGAATATTATGCTTTCTTTGTGTAAATATCAATTTGTTATTTTCATGTTATGCATGACAGTAAAATCCTGTACCAAAAATTATTAATACTTACATATGCAGACACTCTGAAGACTGTAGAAATAATACATATTTCTTTTGTTTCAGGATTCTTTTGAACACTGAAATACAGGGGAATAATACATACTTAATACATACCGTAAGCACCGATTATTAGAATACTTCCTTTAATAAATACATTTTTAACATATACACTGTGTTCTCGCTCAAATTTATCAAGTCCAAATTAATAGTTAAAATTCAACTCATATCATGTTGACCATGAAAAGCTGTGTGGACCATTGTCAGAAAACATGGATATTATGACATTTTACTGAAAACTATTGAACATATCTAGTCATCTGAGCGGGTTTCACTGTTTTCAGCTACTAAATCACAGCAATATTACCAAGGCCTCCATCATAAAGTTTGTATTTTGATAGCTATGAAAAGTTATTCAGCTAAACGTTTTCTAAAAATCTTCACATATTCCTTGAGAAAAAAAACCTGCAAAGTGAACTGTATCTTAATACAGACTACAAGAAGTAGCAGCAATACTGGTGAAGAAATGCAGATTTTAGCTCATTTTTAATTAATATATAATAATAATTTGGTTTCATTTTTTCCTCCTTTGGGATATTGTATATATAGACAGCTGTGCAAATTAGGATGGTAATCCTTCTCAATTTTTATATTTCTACACTGTGTTTGTTGTGAAGACTGCCATTTCTTCCATCACAATTACTAATAATGCCAAGATGCTATTGCAAAGCATCTCAACATATTTTAAACTTAAAATGTATTTTAAATGTCTCATTTTTCCTCAGGTCTGCTTTAAGTGATGCTCACATTTCTTGATTAATTAGATCATTTAACTTCTATTAATTTATCTAATTTCACAGATTCCTATTTACATTAACTCCCTGTGGAGCAGCCGAGTCTCTTAAATTCCATACTTACACAGTTCCAGGAAATGCATAGCTCAAAACCTGCCTTGTCACAAACAGGTTCAGTTCCCGGGAAAGGTCCCAATATAGCCAAGTTGCTCGAGGATGTGTGTTAAATACGGCCCGGTTGTACACCGCACCAGCTCCAAGCTGTCAGTGACAGCAGCCCCCTATTACCACTGCTTTCACAAAGCTTCTTTTTATAAGAACAAATAACCCCCAAATCAACCAACATCATCTTTGTTGATTCAATCTCTCCAACCAATAAAAGAAATTGACTCTCTGATTAAGTGATTTCATCTGTAATGACACAGTCATGTACGAATTAAGCCTGTACTGTGAAGTTGATCCTTCCTGTGGTGAGTCAGTAAGGAGGCTTTCTCAGAATTTTTTTGTTGCAACTGACATGTTTATATACTCCGCAGTGGATTAAGAGGGCATTGCTGAAACTGGTACTGGCCCCAGTTGTCTGCCTTACTACCCCTCTAGAGATTACTGCCTTCCCAGCAGGGACAGCTCAACTGGTTCATGACTCAGCTTCTGAACCACTGCAGTTTACAGATCAGCATATTAATATAAACTAACACGGATGTCAGTTTATGCTAACGTACCGGGCTGTAAACCACAGCAGTCCAGAAAGTATTCAACCATCTCTACTGAAAGAGTGACAACTTTCAGAACAAGGTATGGAGGGTTAGTGGGGTTAGCGCTTTCTACCATGGATCACCACCCCCAAAAGCTACAGTTGTATTTAAGTCACTCTAACTTCATATTCTTGTGGCTGAAAACAATGTTTTAAATTTATGGTGTCTTAATTTTTATGTTATATATATCTAGGATACCAAAGTAAGAGGTGACAGAGAATAGTCTTCCTCTTTATTCTCCTGCCTTGAGAAACTTTCCCCTTGTGGGTCGCTTCCTGTAAGTAATTTTTCAGACTGAATGTTTATTTCTAGTACTTTGGTTAATTTAAAGGCAAAATAATATATCTGCCAAAATCGGATGACATTCTTCCCTTGCTTACGTGAAAGAAACCAGAAGGTTGCCTTTGACAAGCTTGCTTGCTCTATTTCTGTTTTTTTTTTCCTAAAAAGCTTTTAGAAAAAACTACCTTGTCTTCTTGAAGAGGATAGTATTGCCTTAGAAACAGTCTTAATACCCGCCTTTGTTCTTTCACATTGTTAACTTCTAAACTATTCATTGAATATGGTCATTCCTTCATCACTTTAATGTGCATCTATTCTCTTTTTATGAAGAGCAAACTTCCTCATCATCTCTCAATTTACTTTGGGTTCTATTTATATCTTAACCTTACTGGCAATATTTTATTAGGCTTTCCAAACGTTAAAAGAACAACTTGATGCTTTCACATAAATTCGTTTGTTATGGGGGAAAGGGCATGGAGATGGCACAGAAAGAAGAGAACAATGACCACAAGATACTACGCAGCTGTCACCATGGAGAGACACTGTCACAAAAATCAGGGGTTAAGTACAGAAGACAAGATTTATCAACAAAGTTTCATAGATGAGATTTGAATTAACAAGTTTTTGTCATGTAAATGTATTCTTTAACTAAACCAAAAATACTACAACAAGGATTTTGAAAATATTTACGTTACACAGGATATGACACAATGCTAAAATTTTGGATGGATTCAACTGGTCACAGAATTATTACTGCTGGATTAGTAACCAACAACAAGTTGTACATCAATTAATTAGGAAGTAATTATTACTCTTTTTACAAAGGAGAAAATGCCTGCCATTTAATAGTTGTATTTGGAAGTCCCAAGCTGTGCTTGTAAAATATATAGAGCGGGTAATTTCAAAAGATTATTGCATTCTCTCCTAATAAAGCAATATACATGAAAATGCTTTAATAAAATGAAATCTCAAACCATTTGGCACTATTTTGAACGCTAGTGCCCTGGAGTTAGAACTCAAGAAAGGCCAGAAGAAAGGCTGTAAGAAAAAGTGGGGAAAAGCTCATAACAGGTCTGCCACTCCTGGCACTAGAGACACTTTTGTGGAACTCTTCATGCCAAAGCTCTTTTCCATAGCAAAAACTGTTACAGGACCAAACAGTGGTGGTCTGTACCTCTGTAAGCATATCATGATTAGACTAAATTCAGCTACAGGGGCCAATTTTTCAATGTACATCAGCTAATAATTATTGTACTATCCATTTGTTTTTCACCAAGCCTTCTGAGCCCTCAAGACATAAAAATTAAAGCTTAAGAAGAGTACAGTTTTCTGGTATTAAAAAATTCTGTAAAGTTTTTAATATCACTTTACAAAAAGTAGAAAGTATCCAATGCGACTGCAACCCAAGATGAAAAGAAACCAGACAGAGGATAGCATTCAAGAAAAGAAGAATTTAAAGAACAGTTGGTTTTCAACAGGAATTTGAAGGTGAACTATTTGGTAAACAGAATTTAAGAGACCACTACTCTCATTAGCAATTGTTTACTGCAAATAAGAGGCCGTAAGAAAGTAATTTTCCTTGCTTTATTTTCTGGTGTAATTTGTGCAAAAATGAAGTAACAGCGCACAGCACGGGCTAAAAATTAGAAATCAAGTCAAGACTGGCATAAGCGTCCCTCTTCAGAGCTGCATTGCTTAACCTTTCACTGGCTTTTTCTCTCTTAAGAAGGTGGTAACAAAATGGCAACATCATTTTGGATAAACTGGGGGCAGGGGGAAATGAGACAAAGCAGGAGACAACCGTGATTGTGAAGGGGGAGGGAAAGTCTGAAATGTCAAGATCAAAAGCTTTTCTCATGGGACCAATAGAGAACTTAATATTAAAGGAGCAGGATAAAAGATTTAGTTAAATTGTGAGTTTCTTTTTCAACTGTTAGTCAGTGTTAACACCAGCTCCGATGGCAGCGAGAAACCAGTAGACATTTGTAGGCACAGAAATGAAGACACACGTGGTAAATAAATATTGCAGATCAGTATTGTCACATGAACTATGTAGATGTACTTCAAAACTTTGGAGGACAGAAAGCAAGCTGCTAACTGGAAAACAAAAACAAAAACAAAAACAAACCAACCAAAAAGAACCCAAACACCAAATAACAGAGGAATGGATCTTGAAAGGTTTTCTCCTGGTATTGTATGGCGGACAGAAGTAGCAAACGAGAAAAATCACAGAAATATATGAAGGCCCAATAGGGAACAGGTTGAGGGTATAGAGAAAGCAAACCTTGAAAACAGGATCAAATTGTGAGGAAGATTTTGGCAGACGCTTTTTTTTTTTTAAGTAACAAGAACTACTTGACATCCCTCTTGAATTTTACAGCAGGAAAAGGAAAAAGAATGGGGAAAGGCTTCAGGAGATAGGAAGGTAAAAAAAAGGAGTGGCTTAGAACAAAGCTTGAACATGTTTAGGAGAAAATAACTCAACAGCAAAGGGAAGCAGGAAAGTGAAGGAACTGATTGGATTTGTGTTTTGTCCTAGGTCAATTCAGCAACACAAGAGCAGAAACAGCTGTAGTCAATGCGGAGTCAACTAAGGCTGAGGATTAGAGTAACAAACAGCTTGTTTCAATGTACTTAAAAGAAACGACGATTTAAAAGAAAAGGCAGGGTAGAGATGAAGCACTGATAGGATTTTTTTTTTGTCATATTCTCTATTTCTGAAGAACCCACTTGATTTCCATCTATGTATGATATGAAAATATCAAAACTAATCACACTAATAAGAAAGCTCTGGTGACTAATTAATTAATTAATTAAGGTGACTAAGTAAGTAATGTATTCAAAATAATACATGCAGCAACCTAAGTTTGTTATTTCTAAAAAGTCTTGGAATACTGATAACGCTCAATTTCTCTGTTTCAGTGGTTTCTCTAGAAGTATGAACTGTTCTGCTGCTACTTTAATAATTTATTTTAGATGACCCTGGGAAAGAGCAAGTGACTAAATCAACTTGCACCCTGAAAAGTACTGACCACTAGAAAATCTGAAAGCTGCTTAGAAGTTATTAAAGATTTCTAAGCTTCTTTGGTTAAGTACTAAAAAAAATTCCAGAAACAAGCCAAATATTTTGTTTTAAATATTTTGTTTGGATACAATCTATACACAAGTGCTACAAACGTAAAGAAATACTCAGGTGGTTCAGAATCACTGGGTTTAATTCTTTCACAGTGTATTTGTTCAGACATACACATTTTACTCTTAACTTTATCCAAAGACATTTTAAGAACAGACTTAATGACAAATACATCTTATACAATCTTTTTCCTAGTATGCTTGTGTATAATGTTAAAATAGGAGATGAAATATCAATTGGTCATCGCACCATTCCAAATAGAGCTGACAAGGAAGAAAAATATCAATTCCTACTTTATGTGTTTTCAAGCCTTTGTAGTGTACATTGTAGTTGCATTGCTTAGTACCCACATTATCAGAGCTCTTGTACTATCATTTCAGAGGTCTGCAATTGTTTTCCATTGTTCAGGTTGATATTGTTCTTTATACTATCCCACAAATACTTATTATGAATGGCAAAGTATAATATAATATAAAATTTTAGTAATATCATTGACTATCTTCCTATTTCCATTAGCTTAGCTAGGAATGAGTCCTTGCATAACTGATAACTCCATTCGATTTCCCACTAACCAGGAAATAAGAAATTTTGTCAGTCAGAGAAGTCAGCATATGGGTTTATCAAAACAGGCCCAAAAATTGCCTCTTGTTTTCTGAATTTGAATCTCTAATCAATCACCTCTAATCTCAAGAAAAAAAAATAATTCCAAACAACTCCATACAGCGGACCTGGCAAAAATGTGTCTTAGACCACTGTGTCATGTTAACAGCCAGATTCTATCACCCTTCGCTTTCTGCTGCGAGAATTTTATTTGTGGAATTAAGAATGCCAAAATCCAACTGTATTAAAAAAAAAAATTAATAATCAGCTGGAATAACATACATACAGAACTAAAAATTTCAACTAAAGTATTTAATTTTTTAAATCCTTAGCCTAAGTAGCTTGAAAGTACTATACATCCAAGACTTAATTGTTGATATTTTATCAATGACAGTGGGAACACAATCTGGTTCCAGTGCCACATCATGTTTTCAGCAGATGATTACAGAAAAAAAAATAATCTTTAAAATGGGAGTGAATTATAAAACATCAATGTCCATATGTAATGTAAAATAAAGTTTTTATGTGGGACAGATGCCATTAAAATTGCATATATTTTGCCATTGAACTACTACCATTGTTACACATTATTTTGATAGTTGAAGACAAATAAGCTTGCAGATTGATTAAATAACAGCCCCATTTTTGAAGCAGTAATGCACAATAAATTTACACAAATCGGCACAAAGTATCTATGCACAGCACGTACATATACAACTGTATAAACCAGAAAATACTTACCTCACCAAGTCTTTATATAAAGCTTTTGTAGTTTCTAAGTATGGGCCAACTACATCTTCAAACTGGCAAAGAGTTCCTCCAATGCAAAGATGCTTAAAAAGACAGAACAGAAATTCCTCGCGATCCAGTTGACTGAATAAATCATAATGGTCTGAATCTTCCAGAAGCAAGACCTTGTGAGACAAGAAGATAACAAAGAAGTCAAATAGATGAACATTTCTTATTTGAGATTAAGTTTATAAACAAGGCAACTGCTTTGCTGTATGTCACACAGTGTTTACGCCCATATAAAATGTACAAACTAGGGATGGAAATAAATAACTACTTCTCTCTAAGTCCTTCCTCCAATGATGCAATGATGTTTAAAATTTATAGATACAATATAAAGCAGAATCACTGTCAGATTTGTGCCCACAAGACATACGGGAAGATTTTTCAAGAGTCTAGTTATTCACTGGTTAATTGCTCATCATGCTAATGAAACAATCAATGATCTGAAAATAATCTAGCTATAGTTGGTATGTCAATCACTGCCAATTAGTTTGTCTCTGGTAACTTTGCCTACATTTGCTTTTTTACTCTAAGTTTACACAGTTATCTCAGATTTGTAAAGGAATCCTAAGGATCTCCCAGAGGACATAATTCAAACTCACATCATTCTGTACTGCAGACTCTAGCGAGCCTTTACCTGCAGCCTGTATAAACCAGACATGCTACCCAGCTGCCTCCATGTGTCTCACCTGCCTTTTGCTGCAATGTCCTCTGAACATAGAGGACTTGCTACATTAGTCCCAACACTGCCCACTGTAAGAGTGGACAGGAATTGTAACTCAGTATGGCTACAAGACGTTTGAGTCACATCAGCCAAAGTGCAGATGCCACCCCAGGCAAACTGGTCAAAGCTAGGCATGAGCTCTGGCCCTCTTTATAACATCATTACACAACCTGAGTAAAAAGGGGTCAGAGCAGCAACTGTTGTTGATGGCCACCTCATATGTATCCCAACTCCCTTCTTGGTTGGATCAAAAGAAGACGTGACAGGTAGGAAACAAACACGGAGTTTTGCAGATGAAGGCCACCGTCTGACTCCAGGAGATAGACGGTTTGCTGCCCCCTACAGTCTACCGTCCTGGGGCGCAGATTAATTTCATCTGAAGTTTTGACTTCCTGGAAGATTTTGAGTCTGAATTCTTTCTGCCATCTTAGGTCTAATGAGTAGGAATCATATTCATTTCAAACAAATGTGAATCCATCAACTTGTAACTTGCAGACACACACATCCCTTCCAAGGGAAGGAAAATGGAAAGAAACTGAAACTCCAATGATTTCTTATTTTAAACGTTGCCTCTAACTTTCCTATATCCAGTATATCAAATTTTCAGAAAATATTTCAAATGTACCAGACTTAGAAAGAAATACATGGTATTTTGCACGGCTAGGCTACAAACCACATCTGAAATTTAAACACGAGCTTGAGTTCTCTCCTTTTCCCAGAACTTTACAAGACAGACCAGTATTTCAGGCCACGTCCTGTAACCAGTGTCACTGGTTCAAATACATTGCCTTCAAAGGATTTGCCAAGTGCAAATGAGTGCAACTCTATAATTATTAAGTACTTATGATGATTATATACACACGGAAGAGCAAAATCCAGTTCTCCCACACTATGCTTTGCTAATGCTAAACAAACATAAGTAAAAAAAAATAATTGTTAGTTTATGAAGTCAAAAGAAACACTTATGGTGAAGACATATGTTGATTAAGAAGGTGCCACTGTTATATTCCTTTTCAGAATAATCTGCTCTCTAACACCTCCACTGGAGTATAACAAACAGGTTTTACCTTGCAGGCCTGCTCAGGAGTTATATTTAGTCCTTTTCCAGTGTTACACTGAAAAGTAATTTCCCTTTTCTCAGTTTCCTCTCCTTTCTTTCAGTGAAAATATATGAAGAAGCCTTTCCTTAAATGCCTTCACATATGATATGGTCAGAATTCCTGGCCAGGAATGCTTCAGGATGTAGCTATTGAGTACGCTCAGTTTCATCAACTACCCGGAAGGCTGGGTGAACACACAGCTCTGGGTATCATGGGACCTTTCTATTGGCACCATTTGTTTTCCCCTCCTAGGCTGCATTTCCCCCCAAGCAAGCACTGACTACTTGAGACAAGGGTGGGTAGAAGAAGATTGTACCTTTTTCTCCCATCTTAAAAGGAAGGAGGGCCCACGTGTAAAATAGCCATTGCTTTCACACATTCAGGCACTGCAGCACCTCAACTGATTCCATCACATGGCCATCGATGCCCGTTTTTACCATGGAAAGTACGTATTGTCAGAAAAAAAAATACTGAAAAATGTGTCCTTATGTACACATGGTACCTACTAGAGTATGAAAAATTATAAGAAAATATTCATTGCTATACTGACCTTCCTTAATTCATCAGAGATGAGAATATCATCGTAATAGTCATCATAACATTTCACAATATCTCCAGTTTCTCTAACAACTCCTTCAGTGTATAGCCGATCAAAAAATGACATGGAGATTTGTGTACAGGGCACCACTGTAGCTTCAATTTTTGTCACTTTGGAACCTGGAATACATAGGAAGACTTCACTCCAAATCTCTTGCAATAAATAAAATAGGAGAATTTCCATGTAATAATTTGTAATTTGATACAGAGTGGAAATAATCAGCTTCTCTAAATGCTTGTGTGTGGCATATTCTTTAAAAAAATACAGGTCACATAAGTATGACTCAATCACACAGTCCCTCAAAAACCAAAGAAAACTAAGAAAGAAACAAACGTAAAGAAAACATTAAATTCATCTGATGCTACCCGCTGTTAAGACTCACGTGTGTGCTCCCCCTGTTGGTAATACTATGAGCCAAAACAAGTAATAGATGAAACACCATGTGAAACTCAACATCGCCTTAAATCACACCCTTAGAAAATCACATTCCACACCTTAAGCCTTGAAGAGTCTGAGGTCAAATACCAAATTTGGCATGATGAAGTACAAAAGTCAACAGGTGCCACCAGCATCCCACAAAGTAAAAGACAAAATTAACAGCCCTGATGAATTTTTGGTTTAAGTATTATAACAAGAACTTTTTGAAAATTTATTTTGTAGCTACTGTAAGCTTTAATAACCAGCTATTTCAGGAGATGAAAAAGATACTGTTAGTACTTCCTGTATGAATCAGGAGTATTAAATGTAATCATTAAGTGCAGAGTACATTTTTATGTAGTTTTTCTGTTTTCTGTGCCAGGAAGTCATCCAAGGCTTGATCCTTGTTGCTCCTAAACATCTAGTGCCATTTGAGATGCCCTACAGTATTTTACTTAATGAGGTATCAGTCCATAAGGGCACATACCTTTCCTATATACAGTGCTACATCTACAAATTTTTACGTGTGGTGTTGGATAATTTATGGCACCTCAAATAGCATTAAATGCCATGTTTTGGAGCCAGTTCAGTTCCATCAGCTCTCTACGGTCAAAGTGTTCAGACCAAATGATGGAACATATTCTCTGCTCATCAGAACACATTCTCTGCTCATCTCCAGGTCACCCTGAACACCCTTCAAAGTGCTTCTGGAACAGGAGAGGGGAGGGGAGCACGAGTGAGCCTGAGCAGGAGTGAGCATGCAACACAAGGGTAATGTGTCTCAGCAGAGATAATATCCACAGCATTCCAGCTTTCTGTGACTTTACTCTCTTCTTTTCTCCTCTGTAGGCTGCCTTGATGGGAAACTGGTCAACAACATCCCAATATCAAAAAGCTTTTGACTGTACAGTTAAAGATAAAATTATGTGGTGTCCTGACAAACTGACCTAAAGGATCACTAAAGACTAGTACTTAGGAAATGTACAAATTTCACTAGATTACAGTATTCCAGGAACAGAAATGTGCCAAGAAGGGATGTATGAACCATGATGCTTCCAAGAGCACCTATCATTTCATTCTGACCCTAATCTTTGCAAGCACAGTATAACCTAAAATTTCTCTTGCCTCCACATTTCCAAAAAGGTCTTGGGATTTCTCCCACATATAATTACATGGAGGTTAAGCAGGACTGGCATTTTGGTATCTAAACCTGAGTAAACTGTACCACCCACCTGATCAACTCTAAGAAAAAAATTAAAGAAAAGCTGATGGCTTGAAAATGTGTCTACTTCAGCTAGAAATACTCGCATGAAATTTTATAATTATTTTATTGGGCCAAGGTGATGTAATGAAAATCAGCTACGGAGAAAAGCTTGGCTTCATATCTACAGATATGGTTATGAAAACCATACCTTTATTAATCATTTCTTTATTAAAGAAAAAAGGTTTAGGACATTCTCCTACCTGTCCACATAGTGACTATAAAAAAAAATAAATCAAATTATGTAAGCAAAATCACAAGTCAGAAAAAACATGACTTGCAGCCTTGCAACTTAAAAAAAAACCTCCAAACACTGATTTTTATTTATTTATTTATGCTTCCTCCCACCTCCTCACCTCCAGACTCCTCTAATTCTCCAGCTTCCTTTAGAAGGGATAGAATTTTTATTTTATAAGAGATTTAATAAGAACTAAATCAGCCTCTAACATAGAAATTATTTTGTAAAGACCTATGCATCAAAAACTGAGCCAAGACTTATAAAAATCAGATGTTAAATGACTTGAGAAGAAAAAGAGACATCTTACATTTTCCCAGTTATTGAGCTCAAAGTATAAGAAATTGAGCTATTTATAGGCCTGCAAATTGTTAGGATTTTATTGGGGGAGGGGGAGGAAAGGAGACACAGTTCTGCTCTGAAACGAGATTTTATGAAAAATCTCATCAGGAAAAAAAAAAAATCAAGAGCTTTATAATCTATTCAGTAGTTCAGAAAACCAAACTATAAATGGAAAAGTTTAAATATACTGGAAGCTCCTATTCTCCATTTGAGAGGTGAGACTTGAAATTGGAGATTCAGAATTTCCTGGAAAAGAGTGACCAGTTTTAATAACACTGTAAAAGTGAGCAATAAAATAGGAAGAAGAAATGCCTTGACAACTCTGCAAATGGAAAACAAAGAGCTGAGAAGTACTGAAGTAGATTAAGCTTCTTACAACAGCTAGCTCTGGAATATCTATAAAGTGCTGCCAATACACTTTTAAATTAACATGTTGCATATCTAGTGTGGGGCAGATAAACCCCAGATTAGGTATATTTGGAATTCCTCCAAAGTTTAAGAAAAATTTTTACCTCAAGGAAACATCCTGCAACTCACTATTTACAAAACAGTTTATACAGAACATACATAATGCAAGTTCAGTGCTCCGTACTAAAAAGATGGTATTTCAAAAGTAAAAGGTGCAGGTTGATGATTAATAGGTTCAAATGACTTTTTTTTTTTTTTCTTTCAAATGATAACCTATAACGGTAATATGAAAAATTGCTTCCAGATTTTGAAACCCCATTCCAAAGACAGCAATCGTTAGAGCTTCAAGTACACACAGCAATTCAAGAATCTTTCTTAGGCAAATACTTAACTTTTATTTACCCAAAAAGACAGTAACCCTATCCCTTTGAAGATAACGTTTGAAGTGTTAATTGAGCTTAAGCAGATACAGTCCTGGGTCCCCAAGACTGCTGACAGGTGCAAGGCCACTAATGTGTCCAAGGAAAAACGACTATTTAGTTTTCATTGCAGCTATTTAAAAATACAAGACTCAAGACATAACTTGGTATGCATAAAATTAATTCCTTTTGCTGCTTCTATTTTAGAAATATGAGAGTCACAGATGAAGGGGGTGCTTAAAACACATGACAGAACTATCAGGTACTTTGCCATGCAGCCAGAAAGAGGGGAAACAAGTATCCCTACTACAACAGCCAAAAAAGCATGGAGAATAGGTAATTAATTATATGTCTGATCAGATGAAGAAGCCTAGAGAATATCCTTGTGTGTTGTTTACCTAAAATGCTGTATTTCAAGTAATGTTAAAGCTGAAGTCCTTGAGACAATGTACTAATGTGGGATTCTACCAGGAATCGCAACACATCGGGGAGCTGGGGAGAGAGGTATATGTTGTATTCCTTGGGGACCCCATGTTTTATGCCACCTTTTGATCTAACAGTTGGAGACTGAGGATGTTACGGTCTGACAATATTAAGGTGAGGATGAAAAGCAGTGAAAAGAAGAAAAAAAAATGAGATTAGACACAGGAAAAAAAAGTAATAAAGAACTTTTAGAAACAGATTTTAGGAAAAGGAGATAGACAAGTAACAGAGAAAAGGTAGAGATAAATATGAAAGTGAAACCACACCCACTGAATTTAAAAGAAAAATAAATTCTTAATAAGAAGGTAAAAGGGGGCACAGCCTGGGAAAAGACAAAACAATTACGAAAACAAACACTCTCGTAAAGTAGTATTATATTGATGTTTTATATAATGCTGACATTTTTCTATGGGTATGTAAATACTTCCTGCTCAAGCTTAAAGCAGGGAGAAGGGAGGTTTTTAAAAACCTATCTGAACCCCACTTATGTTATGCATCCAAAATATCTCCCCCCTGCAAAAAAACTCTAAATTTTTTGTTTGCAAGAGAATAAATACAGTATTTGAATCAACCTAGATTATGTATTTTTCTTCCTTTTTTCTAAAAAGCAAAATAAGCCAATTTCCAGTATTTTCTTTCAAGAACAGGAACTTGTTTTTAAAAGAATTACTCCATAGTGATAAGAAAATGATATATCTGGATTAATATACTGGCATGTCTGAAGAAGAAAATACTAGAAGATGATTTTTTACCTCCTCCCACTCAAAGCTAATTCTTACTATATTTTCAAAAAATGCACATGAAGACTAAGGATAGAAAAATGTGCCAACATTCCTCACCAAAAATAGGCAAAGAATGGGAAGATGAAATTTTAAGAGCAAATGGGGTATACCAGCTGTTCAGGATTTAGAAAGGGAACCCTTCCAGTCCTCAGAACAAAATGCATTACTTCTATGCTGAGGAAGATTGAGCAGAATCAGGAGTTAAGCTGGGATACTTGGCAAGTGACCTTCTGCTCTTAAACACAAGGTATGTAACCTACTGACCTTCACTACAGGGACTGGCAAGTCACAGGCTAGACAGATAGCCTAAAAAAAAATTCTTGCCTAAAGCAGGAAAAGGTTTACCCACGGTTTAAAATATATTTATTTTCTTTTTGCTTGCCGGATTGAAAAAGAGGTACCTGAAGGGCAACTTGAGATATTTTTTTTGCATCTTATATATTTCAATTGTTTTAACAGCCAGATACAGTGTTTGGAAAATGGATTTTGCTGACAAAAAGGTGGCAATGTCTAATGTCATTGTATATAGTGGGGAAAACCTATGCCAATTCCAGAGAGTCGAAATGGAAAAGTTAGAAAATTCCCAAAGCCCCATTAAATATTTACACACAGTAAAGTATCTGCAGACAAACCAAAAGAACTGAGGACTTCCCACTACACCCTTTTAAAATATTCCTTTTAAGGAAAATAATTTTGGCGATATCAGAGTTCACATTATGCATAAAATCTCATTACATTATCACATGCACTTGCCTTGAAATTTTGTGTGTCATGTACATAATCAAAAATACAATTTAAAAGTGGTGCCATAAAATCATGTGCTATTTGCTCTTGGTCTTTCTCCTTTAGTGTCTCATCTTCATCTATAGACATAATCGAGTGTTATAAGCGGTTAATGGTATAGCGACAAACTAGAAGTCAATCTTACACCATGACTACAACTAGAGCAATCTATGAACTGGCACTCTTTCTGTGCCTAGATCACTTTTGTTGTGCAGATTGCAAATCTACACGAGCTTGGGGCTGTGCTCTATCTGATCTTCTGCTCTCTCAACTTGAATTTGTAACAGAGCAATAATCTCAGATCTGTCCTAAGTAAGGTGGTTGCATCTATAGGTGAGGGTCTTTCTCCAAATATTATCCGGATAAGGTAGTACTGTAATTCCGCAATTGACACATTTGATTATGTCTGGATACATCATCAGGTCAACTGGATGTCACAGACCATTTAAACACACTTCTAGTAGCTTGGTTTATGGATCAATGCAGGGGTCAAGGAAAAAAAGTGTAAAATGTGACAATTTAGTAACAAACTAGGTAAGAATCTTTTCTTATTATTCAGTAAAAGAAGTCATTCTTTAAGATACTTCAGCTAGGTGAAGATACACATATATGATCTGTCATTATTACAAAATGGTAAATTAGGGGAAAATAGCTACAACAGAGACTTTTTACGTAAGATTAATTTATTCTAAATTTACCCAATGTAGTCCATTGTCCTGAAGCTGAGAGCAACTTTAAACTGGAGTTCACATTTTGATCATTAAAAAATGCCTATAATATTAAAATAAGAGAATACAAGTTAATGAAATGAAACATAAAATAATAATTTATAGTGTGTTGGATACTTTCAAGACAAATTTTAGGGATCCAATTAGTAAGTAGATTCTGTATGGTTTTTCAGTTTGGATACTGAAATCACACAACAAATACATCTTTTTGTAACTTTGTGTAGCCAGTGTCTTATATATAGTCAAGATATCTTCATGTATATATTTGTATATGCAGTATTAAGGTTTTACAGCAAAGCACTTTGAGTCCAAGAACACACAAAAAGATCATATGAAAACCTTGCAGGGACAGAAAAGGGAAGAAGAGATGAAACAATTAAATCTCTGCATACAATGTTGTTGAAGTAAAAAATTCAATGCTAAGTATGATTTTAAAATGTACATTTTGTAAATAACTTTGAAGCCTGGAGAGTGTAGAGACACAAAAAAACAATTAAACAGATACAGAAGAAATACATAAGTTATTGAAGGGATGGAGATGATGTTCCACAGTAAGATTTGAAGTATTCAATCCTATTAATTTATCAATTAAAAAAAGGAGACATGCATAGTAATGCTGGTAGCTGACAAGTTTAAATGAAAGATAAGCTAATTAAGAAAACCCGCACTTGCATATATGCATACAAACAGAGTGAATAATCATTGAAGAAGCTGCTAAGAAAATGATGGATTTTTCACTCTCTGCATCACCAAATCTCTTTACCATCTCTCTGGGATACAGAGAGATCAGACTACATAATGTAATGGTCCCTTTGTTCTCAAATAATTCACAGCTACTCAGAGTTCATCATTTCATAGTGATATTTTTACATTTTTAATTCAAAAGAGACAAGCATTGACAAGGTAAATGCATATTTTGTAATCTTCAATCACTTGAAATGTTTATCAGTGGGAGATGAAATATTGCTGTATTTCTGTGTGAATTGCTTTAAAATACAAAGCAGCTGAACTCTTTATCCAGGATAACAATATAAAGTAGACATAAAACAAATCAAAGAGTTGTTTTTAAAACAACAGATGTAAAATCCACACTGCTTTTAAAATCACAGATTATTATTTTTTTCTGTCTGCAAACAGATGAACAGATTTGACTTTGCAGACAACAAAAGCAGAGGACACAAAATCAGCAAAAGACTTGAGTCTCAAAAAGCTGAGTGCCCCAAATTCCATTATAAAGAAATGGTAACCGGTACATTTTAAAATCTTGTATTTTCAGATATACGGTGCACAGACACATCTAATTGCATGGTGTATTTACTGTGACAAAGTGGGAATAGCTGTGAACAAGCGTACCAACTGCATGTACACTGTTTAAAGTCTCCCCCTGGGTGGACGTCCCAACATTAAATGTGGTGGCCAAGATCAGCATCCAGTTCAGATTCCCATTCTTGGGAACGTCGAATGGCTAAATTGTTCCCTCTTAAAACAGAGTAACATTAGTACAGACTAAAATATTTTTACTGGACAATACAGTTAACCCACAAAATAAGACTTGAGCACCACACCTAAATCACCTACTTTCAAACAAACAGCGAGCAGGCAAATAGCACGGTAACGCTGCTACAGCGTTTGCCATTATGCAGTTTTCCAATAGCTATAATTTCCTGGAAAGTCAACTTAAAATGTAAAGGACTTAGAAATACCATGACAAATTCATCCTTTTGATAGGGCTTAAACTGCTGGTCAAAACTGAACGCCTGTGCTGTGATCCTGCCTTGCATGGACCTGAAATAGAAAAATGAGATGAAATATTCTGCAGACACACCAGGTACTTATTCACTCTGCAAATTTCCCTCGGGACACTACATAAAGTCCTATCCTGACCAATAATTATACTTTTTTTTTTTTTCCCCCCTCTTTCTCACTCTCACTTATACCCGCCTCCCACCCCGCTTTGGCGGGGAAGAGCACAACTGCTGCTCAAGCAGCATCAGAGCGACGCTGCGCAGCTGAAAAAGATCTCGGAAGACAAGGAGGCTGCTTCTCAGAACAAGCCTTTTACGTGCCTGAAAAATACTAAGGAGACTTCCTATTAAGGGGGAGGGGGGGAAGAGAGAGGCCGGGACCCGCCGCCACTGGAGAGCGGGAGCCCTGCGGGGGCGGGGGCGGGGGCGGGCGGCGCGCCCCGCC